CCCCAAAACCCCAAAACCCCAAAACCCCAAAACCCCGATATCTTTCATAGGTTTTATATTACTAAGTAAAGAAATGTTAATTTAATATAGTGTATTATATTATAAATTATTTAGATTAGTTGGATTGCATTGTAAAAATGGTTTATAAGCAAATTTGGTTGGATATAAGTGCTATAATACTATTGCTATTAGTAATTTGGCATTGAATTAATCAAAACCATATAGACATCAACTTGTTAAGGAGCTGGAATATATTGTCCTGATAGCATGTATGATGGCCCAAGTTATGGAGAATAATGTGATGATGGAAACTCAATAAATGGAGACGGGTAAGTAATATTTATTTTAAGAATCCAAGATTTTTATCTATACTCACATTTTACCTTTAATAATAATCCTTGTACTAATTTTAACTGATTAATAGATGTGATTCTAATTGCAACATAGAAACTGGATACAGCTGTTAGCATTTCTCAGGTTATACTCCAGACTAATGTACTGAGATTTGTGGAGGTATTTCTAATAATACTTTTAAGTTATTTAGATAGTAGAGACATATCAAAAAGATAATGTGAAGACGGGAATACAATTGCAGGAGATGGATGCAGTGATACTTGCACTATTGAATCTGGATTTGCATGCACTCGAGGAACTATCAATTCTGCTGGTTACTGTAACGAAATCTGTGGAGATGGAAAAAATAAAGGATTTAAACCATGTGATGATGGTAATAACGTGAATGGGGATGGATGTAGCTCAGTCTGTATGATAGAAACAGGCTATTAGTGTGTAGGTGGTACATCTACCACAGCAGATTAATGTGAATTATGTGGTGATGGCAAGAATAATGGAAAACTTGAATGTGATGATGGTAATATCGTAAATGGAGATGGATGTTCATCTACATGTAATCTTGAAGTGGGCTACTATTGCATAGGTGGCACTTCCACAACAGCAGATACCTGTCATGAAATTTGTGGAGATGGATTAGATATTGGTAAATATGCCTGTGAAGATGGAAACACAGTAAATGGCGATGGTTGTAGCTCTATTTGCGCAATTGAGACTGGTTTTTAGTGCTCTGGAGGAACATCAACTACTAAGGATACCTGCACTGAAATATGCGGAGATGGGAAGAATGTAGGAAAATTGGCTTGTGATGATTAAAATATAATTAATGGAGATGGCTGTAGCTCAACTTGCACAGTTGAATCAGGATGGGCCTGCTCTGGTGGATCAGTAACAGGAAAAGATACATGCTTAGAAATTTGTGGAGATTCTAAAAAGATTGGATAAAAATAGTGTGATGATGGAAATGCAAATAGTGGGGATGGATGTAGCTATCCAGATTGTAACGTAAGTATGTGTAGTTTAAATTTTAATTTTGATAGATTGAAGTTGGATATGTGTGCAGTGGTGGTACAATATCTTCTAGAGATACATGCACTGAAGTGTGTGGAGATGGAAAAGATTTCGGTACCTTAGGCTGCGATGATAATAATCACCTAAATGGTGATGGATGTAGCTATCCAGGCTGTGCTATTGAATCTGGATGGACTTGTACTGGGGGAATATCAACCAATCCAGATACTTGTAATGAGATTTGCGGAGATTCTAAAAATATGGGAAATAAAGCTTGTGATGATGGAAACATAGTCAATGGGGATGGATGTAGTTCAACTTGCACTGTTGAAGTAGGATATACATGCTCAGGTGGATCAAGTTCATCTAGAGACACATGTATTGAAATTTGCGGAGATGGTAAAGACTTTGGCAAATTAGGCTGTGAAGACAATAATCATAATAATGGGGATGGTTGCAGCTATCCAGGTTGCTCCGTTGAAGTAGGATGGACCTGCACTGGTGGGACAACTACTAGTCCAGATACTTGCCAGGAAATATGTGGGGATGGCAAAGACTTTGGTAAATATCAATGTGAGGATGGAAACACAGATAATGGAGATGGCTGTTCCTCTACATGTGAGGTTGAGAGAGGTTACTAGTGTACAGGAGGCACAACTTCAACTAGTGATATCTGTGAGGTAGTGTGTGGCGATAGTATATTAATGCCAGTTGAGGCATGTGACGATGGAAATACAGACAGTGGAGACGGGTAATTATTAAATTTTAATTAATATGTTTAGATGTTCAAGTACTTGCACTTAAATTGAACCAGGTTGGGCTTGCATAGGAGAACCCTCATTGTGTATTGAGACTTGTGGAGATAGTAAAAATCTTGGCAATCTAGGATGTGATGATGGAAATCTAATTGATGGTGACGGGTAATTACTCTAAATTAGTTAAAATTGTTTAGTTGTTCCAGATATTGTACCATTGAAAAAGGATGGACTTGTTATTTAGGCTCACCAACTACCAAGGATGTTTGTTCTTAAATTAAGACAAGAAGTGGCTAGTTAAATGAATGTCTCTAAATTGCTGCTGCTTTTGAAAGTACTTGCTCTAGTTCTACTTCAGTACCTTTGGCCTCAATGATTTCAACATCTCACAGTTGCTAAAATGTTGTTAATTGTCCGAATGCACTTGCAGGAGGAGTTTGCTCTTGGGATAGAAAACTATGTGTAACTTGCTCTGTCTAAAATGGAGTAACTAAGATGAGAGTTCAAACTAATTCAATGCCAGATCACTGTTTCTAAGCACCTAATCAAGCTATTACTGAAAATTTGATTGACTTCGATGTAGCATTCAATTTAGATACTACAAACTTAGATACATTAATACATAAGACTTAGAAATAAGTTGATGATAGTATGTGTAAACTAGATTGGATTTAAGATTAATGGTTCGAAAATGTATACTCATTTACAAAATATTCAGGAAATACTGATTATTTAGTAGGAATTGCGTTAAATGGGGTTCCTATTCACATGGGAACTTCAGAGCTTTTGTATGATGCCCTTTACCCGAAAGCTTATGATTTATTTAATACTCCGATTTCAATTTCAACAGATAATTGTCTTGGAAGTAATGAGATCTCCTCTTACTATCATTATTACACTTTCTCACCTTGCATAATTGCATCATCTATCAAAAGTTAAGAGTAAGCAAGTTCATGTGCAAATACTATTGATTGCAGTTAAGATATTAAAGCCTACTCGATTTCATAAGTATCATAAGGAAATAAGATAATGTTTGCAATCGGAATAGCCAAAGATGGCCACATGATTTATGGACCTTATAAAGACAATGGTGAGCTCTGGTAGCCCTGTGAAGTTGATATTTGTAACGGAGTTACTTTAGATGGAAATTATGTTTATGTAATAACAATGTTCCATCCTTATACAATTGGTTGCTGGGGACCAAGTGACTTAAGTAAATATGGGCAATCTTGTTCAGACAATCCAAAAGTATGTACAAGCTTATCATTTTATATTGGTATTTCTGCTATTTATCTTATTGGAATATCATTTATTTTAGCTTTTGTATTATGATATGGAAAAACATTAATTCTTAATTTTATTAATTCTACCTCTTAATAAATTAATAATTTAGTCCTATGGGGTTTTGGGGTTTTGGGGTTTTGGGG